AACAAGGAAGAGATAGATTTCTTGCTAGCTTCTCACTTCGAATTATGTCAATTATGCTAATTGTTCCAATCATTTTATTTCAAGAGTGATTTTGCATGTCAAGACTATATTCAAATATAAATATGAAACTTTACCATATAACCAGATATGGATAAGTATTTAATTATGCATAGATATCAGTGCTCCTCTCCATTGTTGGGGATAAATGAGTTGACTATATTATTAGATTTCAGAGAACAGCTAAACCCCATTCACACCTCTAACTCTATTAATAACTAAAGTCAATTAAATCTTGTATCATTATTATGATAATACTTATCCTACTCATAATGGTGTTGTAAAGATTAAATACTTAATATACTAAGTTATTGTGAAAATAAAAAATAAGAACACTACCATTTCAAACTTGTAAAATTTCTATTCCAGAGAATTCTGGGAAAATGTTATTAATGTGCACACACACACACACACACACACACACACACACACCCCAAGATCTATGCTAAGTGGGGACAAGAAGAAAGATAAAAAAATCAGTTCCTACTCTGGAGGTGCTCACATTCTAACAAGAGAGACAACATGAAAACAACTATGTTCATTCAAGATACACACACACACACACACACACACACACACTGTAAATGGAAAGTAATCCTATTGTACTGTAAGAAATGAAGGAAAAGATGGCTTCAGAAAAACCTGGGAAGACTTGTATGAACTGATGCAAAGTGAAGTGAGAATCTGGAGAACAATTTATACAGTAAATAAAAGTAATATCGTAAGGATAATAAATTTTGAAAGACTGAGTAACTCTGATCAACATAATGATCAACCACAATTCTAAAGGACTCATGATGAAACATTCCAAAGAGAGAACTAATGGACTTAGATCATAGATTGAAACGTATTTTTTCTTCCTTTTTTTACTTTTTTAAAAAAAATTTGAACATGGTTAATTAATGTGGAAACTTGTTTTTCTTGCCTTCTCAATGGCTGGGTAGGTAGAAGGAATTGAAAATAACACTGAAATAATAAAAATAATGATAATCTCAGAGGGAAGGCATTACAAGCAGGCAAAGGGGCTATAAGAAGACAGATGGCTCAGAAAAGGTCTCTTGAAAAAGGTGGGATTTGAGCTGACTTTTGGAGGAAGCCAGGGAAACTAATAGAAAGGTGTGAGAATGTAGAACATTCAAAGCATATAGGATGGGAGAAAAGGCATGGAGGAGGGAAATGTCTCATGTGAGGTATGGTAAGGAGGCTAGTGTTACTGAGTCAAAGAGTGTGTGGAAAGGGTTAAAGTTGAAGAAGTGGTCACTGGAATTTGATTAGAGAAGTGATGTGATCAGACCAGAACTTTAACAAAAATCACTTTGGCAGCTGAGGAGAAGATAGACTTGGATTGGGGAGAAACTAGAGACAAGGAGACTAACCAGGCATGAGGCAAAGAGAAAATGAATTCAGTCTGAGACATACTAAGTTTGAGATGGCTATGAGAAATCTATAGTTTCAGATGTCCAAAAGGCAGGTGGTGATGCCAGAATAGGTAGAGATCAGGAAAAAGCTTAGGGCTGGATGTGTAGATATTGCAATCACCTTCATATTGATGAAAATTAAACTAATGGGAGCTAACGAGGGAGAACAGAAGACAGCTCAGAGTAGAGTCTAGTAAAATCCCTCATCCATGGTTAGTGGACATCATCTGAATAAAGAAACAGTAAAAGAGAGGCAGCTAAATTTAAAATGTTGAGGCTTAAATGTTTCATAGCAATATAATACTATCATGATTAAACTATAATTGGCAATTCTGGAAGGGGATTTCATTGGCCATATATCTCACTGAAGACGCCCAATAGTATTCCGGGATTTGATCTCTCTCACACATCCTTTTCTCTCTATTCATGCAGCCTCGGTTAGTTGGTGTCTCTGCATCTAGTTGCTCTTCCCCTCTCCAATCTGACAGATTAATACTCCTAACAGATAGATCCAATTGTCACTCCTTGACTCAAAAATCTTCAGCAGTTCCCTACTGCCTCGAGAACATAATACAAAATCCACAGCCTGATATTTAGGGTCCTCTATATTCTGGTTCTCATCTACTCTGATAGTTATATTTTACTTTATTTTCCTTCACCCACTCTCTATTCTAGTCATAATGGCTGGCTAGCTGTTCTCCATATATAACATTCCACCTCCCATCTCTGTCTTTGAAGAGGCAGTCCTCCACTTCTATGGTGAAATCCTTCCATAATTCCACCTTGAAGAATTCTTCCTTCAAAATATAGATCATGTTTCACAATGACACAGGGCTTTCCTTGCTTCTTTTAGTTTGTACCATTTTTCTCTCTTGAAATTACTAAATATATACTGAAAAAAGGCCATGGTCTCCCACTGCATCTGGGGCCATTGCCAGTCATCCTGACGTATGTCTTGCCACTGGACTCAATGACTCTAGAGGAGAGAGTGAGACTGGTGACTTTGTACCGCTCTGCCTCACTTAAATCCAATTCACTTGCATGTCAAGATATCACCCTCCTGATGTACTTAATCCTCTTCAAGAATGGAGGGCAAACAACAACAACAAATATCTACTGATGTGTATGTATGTTGTATCCTTCCAGTAGAATATAAGTTCCAGGAGAGCAGGGACCATTTTCATTTTGGTCTTTGTATCCACAAGGTCTAGCATATAGCCAGTGCTTAATAAATGTTTATTGAATTATTGAATTGATGTGGTCAGCACAATGCCATCCATGATAAGAAGCATTCTGGGCAGTGGGGGGCCAGGATCACAGGAAATCACTTTTTCCTTTGTATACAAAGGGGAACACTCTTGGTGAGTATGTCTTCACATTTCATGTCTCAACTGATGCTGAGCATCAACAATAATTTCAGCTTTTTCCCCAATAAGGAGCCACCTTTTTAACCCTAATATTTACAACAGTGATGCTATAAGGCTATGAATCATATGGTGAGTATAATTGGCTATTGCATATAACCAATTAGGATTTGAATATCAAAGGTTGGTCAAGTGATGTCATTTAGTAAGAATCAGTACGAAAAAGGAAATGAACTAACATATAGTGAGAATGAGGGATATAAAATTGCAGGTACCCACGTATCTGTTGTTTGTTACCAACAGAATGTCAAAAGATCTAGAAGGACGTAAATGCACTGGGTAGATTCTCTAAGAAGGATTTATGGGAGAAAGGTAGTTAAGAATTACATGATATGAAAAGCTGTGTCAGCCCTGTTAGTGGGAGAACCCACACTAATAAAAGCACAAATTCACGGAAACATCAATTCAATAAACAATTTTTAGTGCCTACTTTGTGCCAGGTACTGTGTGAAATGCTGGGGATGCAAAAGAGGCAAAAAACAGTCCCTGCTCTCAAGGAGCTCACAATCTAAAGTCTACTGCTATAAGAAGAATCCAATAAAACAGTATATTTAATTTTTCCTTATAAAACTCTTCTTAGAAGAGTTTATTCTTTAACAAGGGAGACTGAACAAACCCTATCTACACCCACCAACACCATCCTTCCATCCCACCTTGCCCCAAGAAACCAACACATTTAAGCAATTCTGCAAAGGGGAACAGAATGGAACAATCTCAAAAGTCCCTTCCTTGTCTAAAATTCTTTTATTATAGTTAAGGTATAAATTAATATACAACAGCAAAGAATGTATCTAAAAGGTGTTGACTGGTATGGCTTGAAGGAGTACAGTAGCTGAAGATGGGGTGGAATTAATCATAGAAAAATTTGTGGACGCAAATTTTGAGTAAGGCTTTGATAAGTAAGAGGCACAGACTTTTGAAAAGATAAAAAAAAATTCCAGGATAGTGAGACTGGGCAACAGAATAAATGAATTTAAAAAGCATTTATTAAACTCTAGCTATGTGTCTCGTACTAAGTGCTGAGGATATGAATACAAGAGAAAGATAATCCCAAGGAGTTTATATTTTAATAGAAAATATATATAGTGAAGGCAGAAAGGAGTGTTTTTGTCTAGGCAGTAAAAGAAACGGTGAGTATAGCCATGAAACACATGACAGATCTTTTCCAAGAATGTTTGTATGTTTTAATTTGGTTACTCTTCCCAGAGCAAGAGATGGTAAGTTCACTGAATTTGAGGAAATGGAGTAAATATAAACACAACATTGTTGCAAATCAGAATTCAGTACAAGGTGGCTCCATTGTGGGCCCTACATAAAAATGTTAAGTATGGCAATAAATACCTTGTTTATTTACAATATTGTCTTAATTATATAGCAGACTTCCAGAGTGAACCTCAAGAACAATGTTTTGGGAACTCCTCTGTGTACTTTGACTATACAGTACAGATTAGATAAATTCAAATTTATTAGAATCCTTTTTCAAAAATTATTTTAGCCAAAAAGTTGTGGAGTACAATGTAGACTAGGCTTTGATGAAATCTCAGTCCAATAATGTGGACTAGGAATGTGAACAAACAAAGTTCAGAATCCAGAACTGTTAGAAGAGTACCTTTCTTGTCATAGGATCACAGATCCAGAGAAGAAGAGACCGAAAAGGCCATCTGGTAGAATCCCTAAATTTTGCAAATGGGGAACCTGAGGTTCAGAGAGGTATAGTGTGGTGCGAATGGTCACACAGCTAAAAAGTGTCAGAGTTGATATCTGAACCTAAGATTTTTTGACTCCACGTCCTAAAACTTGATCCACTGCAACACAATAATATGCCAAGAACTACAAATGACTTTCTACTGAACTGACATTTAAATTTAGAATATAGGATTCTTTTTAAAATAAAAACTCAGGTGATTTAACCACTACAATTTGCAAACATGACATAAAATGCATTGGTTATTTTCTTGCTTTAATGTAAATATGGTGGTGGACAAAAAGCATATGTTTAATTTTTGTTTTGTTTTGGGAAGAGTAAGCAAATATGGTTTTATTGCCAAATGATAGGCACTGAAAAACAATGACTATATTTAGGAAAGAAAAAAATACTTACAAGTATGTCTGGCTAATGAATAGTTGGATCCACCACTGGTCAAACCAAACCCTTCAGGAATTTGGCTGGAACTTCGAGGTCTTGTCAACAATTTTGGAGGCTCAATTTCTGCACCAAATTCAGCTCCTATCACTCCTAATAAAACAATAGCTGTAGCCTGTTTACGTCTTTCTTCATATGATGTAGATATTTTTTTCATTTGTGGGAGACCTGATGATAGGCAGCCTGAAATCAGAAAGACACTGATGAGCACACATCAAAAACACACACACACACACACACACACACACACACGCACACACTGAGCAAAATCCAAAGATTTCTACAACTCAAAACATTAAAAATAATTAATTTTATTTGAAACTTTTAATTTGTATTTTCATAATTAGTTTCTCTAAAGTTTAACACATGATATATTCACACATGTTTTTATTTGTGTATATGAGTCTGGCTCAGATCAAAGGCACTAACCAGGCTATACAAAGTGTTCCAAAAGTCTTAGTACACCAAAATTTCTGGTAAACTCTATATAATAGATTATGAATTTTTGAACAAAAAGGGGCTTTAAAGATTATCGAATCTGGTCACTTCATTTTACTGATGAAGAAGCTGAAGATTAGAAAAATGTTATGTGAGTAGAGAAAAAGCCTAGAGAAATGTTATATGGGTATGTTTCGGGGAGATTTTTTTTTTTTTAATGGGTTGGACTTGATGGCTGCTGAGACCCCTTCCCATTCTCAAAATCTAATTCTGTGACATGCCCAGAGGCTGGGAAAAGGATGGTGCTTCCTGGCTTCAAAGCCAGTACAGTCACAAATGCAATAATGGAAATAGACATCTTATAAATATTCAGGGTTAATGTATGTAAAATAACATTAATTAAGAAGATGTGATCATGTAAAGAAATTAAGGAATTAGACAGAGGAATCATGGTAGAAAACATTTCTATGAAGGTGAATGGAGGCAGAAACTGAAGTGATACTGTAACTGGTGTATATATAATGGAGACTACCAGCCAAATCAAATGGCCTGGTTTTGACTGCATGCCTTTGACACTGTTGACCATATTCTCTTCTCTAGGTTTTCATGACACTGTTCTTCCCTGGTTCTCCTCCTACCTATCAGACTCCTTCTTCCTTATCTCCCTTGCTGGATCTTCATACACATCACATCTACTTCTTCTCTTCTCTCTATATACTATTTCATTTAGTGAACTCATCAGGTCCCATGGATTCAACTATTATCTCTATACAGATGATTCTCTGATCAAATTAATTATAAACTAGAGTGACTGAGAAGAATGGTGGTGCCCTCGACAGAAATAGGGAAGTTAAGAGAATAATGGATTTAGGGGTAAAAGATAATGAGTTCTGTTTTATATATGTGAGGTTTGACATGCCAATGGGATATGAAAATCAGTGAGCAGATAATGGGAAGATTTTGATAAATTCAAGAGAGATGATAAGCTGGATATATAGATTTGAGAGTCATCTGTATTAAAGATCACAAATCCAAAGCTGAAAAGACATCAGAGGTCACATAATACAAACTTTTCATTTCACAGATGAAGCATCTGAGGCCCAGGGGGATTAAGTGATAGCACAAGATCAGGCAAGTAGTGTCAAAGAAGGAGATTTGAACCCAATTCAATTGCTCTTTTCATAATGTCTCACATATTGTCTTACAGAGATGATATCTGAACCATGGCAGCTAATGAGATCACCACAATAGAGACTGAAGTAATAGAAGGGAGTCAAAAACAGAGCCTTTGGATGTATGCACATACACATCGAGGGTAAAACACAGATTAGAATCTTGCAAAAAATACTGAAGACTAGTTAAGGAAGTTAGAAAGAAATTCTAGGGAGCAATGTGACAAAAATTTAAAGAGAAGAGAGTATTGAGGGGATGAGGTGGTGTATAGTGTCAGATACTGAAAAGAAGTCAAGAAGGATGAGGACTTTCAAAAGGCCTTCCGATTTAACAACACAGAGGTCATCATTTGCCATAGTGAAAGCAGTTTCAGCTGATCCTTGGGGACTGCAGCCACATTGTAAGAGGTTGAGAAGTGAGAGAACAGAGGCAATGAGTGTAGTTTTGGGTGTGAATATGATATAGGAAGCTAGCTTAAGGGAGTTGTATAAGCAAATGCTTAAGAAAAAAAGATGAACAACAAAAAAAATCATTTATTAAACATCTCTAATGTGCCAGTCACTAATACAGGGGATATGCTAGGGATAAAAATACAAAAATGAGACAGTCCCTGTGGGCAGTGTACCATCATGTCCTTTCCAGAGCAAGAAGTGGAAAAGAGGAGGTGGAGGGGCGATGGGGAATACAACAGCAAGACATCCTGGGAGGACGGATGTAAAGCATGATCCTGGTCTGACTGGATATAGTACATTAGATGAAGCTTTTTTGGGGGGGAGGGGCCTATGGAAGGGGAGTTCCTAGACCTGAATATCACTGTGTGGCCACTCTCCTATAACAAGGTTTGAAAGAGTTACCTAGGACACAGAGAGGTTGTGTCTTGTCCATGTTACAAAGCATACATAAGTCAGAATTGACTAATTATTGAATTGAGATTTTCCTTTCTCCAAAGCTGGTCCACCATCCCAAGGCCATGTTGCTTCCTTAAGACACAAATAAAAATCTGAACCTTATGCTCATGAAAAGAACTTTAAAATGGTAATCATTATTATACTCATTGACAAAGATTGTCTGACAAGATGTCAGAGTGCCACTTTTGATCAAAACCTAGTATTTAGCAACTTGGCTGATTTGCTTAATCAACTAAACAAATCTAAATTCCTATGGAAACAGTAGCTGTCTATCTTAGATGACCTGAACTTAGAATCAGATCCCTTGGTTCTATTTTACATCTTAGACTCAGTGAGGATAAAGAATTCAAAAGCCACAATGAAAGGAAAGAAATAAATGAGAGAAGCCTGCTTTAAATCTTTATCACTGGAGGAAAGGAAAAGGAGATAAGTTGTTCTGTACTGTAGAAAACTAGATGATCAACAATAAACTCTAGCAATTTTTTTTACTTAGTTCTATGACATTTGTTGTGCATTTTTAATGATTTTTTAAAAAAAAGTTTAAATGTTAATTTCAAAAGGTTTCATGTGATAAATTTGGAAAAAAAAAAAAGAAATGAAATTCTCTCAGCTTTGGTTATTATTAACTCCACCACAGTACATACAGAGAAGAAAGGCAGAATGATTCCTAAGGGAATAAATTTGCTTTGAAAAATATTCAAATTCCTACAGGAAGGATTTTAAACAACTGTTAAAAACTTTAAAGCTTACTAAAATGTATATAACTTTATATGATAATATATAACTTACATAGTAATGTCTATTTATACACATCGTAATGATAAGCAGGCTATTTTGCTTATGTTCCTACATTACTAAAATATTTTATCAATTTGTAAATTCTAAGATCAATAAACATTATTGCATAAAATATAATTTCTAGTCAAATGCCAAAAGGAAAATGCTTGAAACAAGTTCTTAAAATTATATTACAAAATAACATTTATTTGCTGATAGTGTAACATGTATGTCTACTTTTATCAAAGAATTTTCTATTTTTTTTGTAATTATAAAAAGAAAATACTACTGAAAAAAAGTATTAGCATATGTGTATGGAAAGGCATTCACATTTATACACATATATTCCCAATCCATATAGTACTATCTATGGTAGTTGTGATGATCATATGGCAAGTAAAGAAGAAAAAAAACTAAAAGCTTAACCATGCTAAGAAAAAAAAAATCAATAATCACTGCCTCCCTGAGAAGGATGAAAATGGACCTTAACATCAGATGAAGTGATATTTACCAGTTTGTTCATCTATATCACAGTGCATACACTTAATAATAGTTTTATGTCTATACATGAACACATACACAAGGAATAAGAGCTCTATTTATCTACATCTACACACATAGAGAGAATATTTTACTCTTTCCATGGTATCCTTTAAACAGGAAGCAAGCCTGGCTCCCCTCCCCCAGTCCCAGCAAGAAGCATGCTCCATAACAATAGTTCAAAGGAAAGCTCTAGTCTGCAGTTGCACTGATTGTTCTGTCAGCTGACCTCTGCAGAAGGGAATTGCTAACCATGGCCATGCTCCTTAGCTGACAAATGAATGATCGCAGCTCCATCTATTTTCACTATGGCTGCCTCTAGCCCAGGTGCTCAGACAGAGAGCCCGGTGTGACATCTTAGATCAAGATGAATTGGCACAAACTCCTGATCCAAGATTGTTTTATACCATTTAATTTAGTTTCTTCCCCTGCTTGGATGAGCACAGCTCTGGTTATGGATTTCTATTCTAATGTACTGAAGCAGGCACTGAAAGAAGCCAATGAAGCAGATGCTGGAGCAAGGGACTGCAGGGATACTGATCAATAGGCAAGGCATTGACCCCAGCAGTTCAGGCTCTGCAATGGCCACTGCTTAAAGAAAACACACACACACACACACACACACACACACACACACACACACACACACACACACACACACACACAC